GATAGCGGAGGGAAGCAGATGGTGGAGGGACTGGAGTTTCTTCCCCTTCAATCCAGATTGAAATGTATTTGAATGAAAAACAAATGAAAAAAAGATATGTTCACCAGGCATTGTGTGGTTTACTGCATAGATCTAGGTGGAGTAAGACATATTCCCAGGTAAACTGCAATCAGTTGGTGGTAGGAGGTGTGGAAGGTACAACTCAGGGCCAGACTGAATCTTCCTAAGAGTGCCATTGAGTATTCTTTAAAAGTGTGCTCTGGCCAGGCACAGTGGCCACTTTTTTTACACTGGGTATAATCCCAGTGGCTCTGGAGGCTGAGGCAGGAGGATCACGAGTTTAAAGCCAGCCTCAGCAACAGTGCTGAGGCACTGAGCAACTCAGTGAGACCCTGTCTCTAAATAAAATTCAAAACAAGGCTGAGGAGGTAGCTCAGTGGTCAAGTGCTCCTGAGTTCAATCTCCAGTACCAAAAAAAAAAAAAAAAGTGTGCTTTGACCTGTTATGGTTTATACCTTTCACCTGTGGAAAGGTCGTTCTCCCTTTCCAGCACAGCTCCTCAAGGTCATGTCTGTTTGTTCTTGCTGGGCATAGAGGAGAGGACTCATAGGCACTTGCTGCTACAGGAGAGAGGTGCAGGCAATGCACTGTGGGACCCAGAGGGGACAGTGAGGCTTGAGCAATGTCGGGCAACCAGGGAGGGCTCCAGGGAGAAGGTGCTCTTTGCCATGAACCTTGAAGAAGTAATGCGGTTACAACTGAGCTGAGTGGAGAATAGGCTGAGATCAAGGCCACGGGGGCTCAGAGTGTGAGGCTGGTGAGAGGGCTGGGGTCAGATGAGTCACAGGGACCCAGTGAGTGGTTTGTACTTCATTTGATTTAGAGTGACTTGGTGAGGGTGATTAAAGAGGGAAGTAATCTGGTGAAGCTGCGTTCCGTGGGTTAGCAGCGGGAGAGGCTGGCGGCAATCAGACCCTTTAGGATGTTATTCAGTCAAGTCCTCCAGAGCTGACGAGGACCTGAGGGTGGGGGAGGGGCCCAGAAGATCTGGAGGCTGGAGGTATTTTGAAAATGGTGTCTGAAATCCCTAGAGTGTCTGAGTCTGGGTGAATATAGGAGAAAAACTGTTAACCACACAACAGTTTTCTCAGGTTGTTGCTCATTACTGCCTTACAGCCTGCAGCCCTTTAAGACTCTTCACTTCTTTGGTGCTGGGTGAATAAGAACGTGCTGCAGAACTGGCCTCAGTGCAGAATGTCACTGTGGGCTCTCAGGAGCCACCAGTATTGACGGGCCATGGCTGTCCATGCTGATGCACATCAAAGGCAGCAAAAGGGCAGGGCCCATTGCCCCTGATTCTCTGTGGTTACTATTTCCTAGATTTCATTCCTTCTTCTTCTTCTTTTTTTTTTTTTTTGTAACAGGGGTACTCAACCACTGAGCCACATCCCCAGCCCTATTTTCTTTTCTTATTTTGAGACAGGGTCTCACTAAATTGCTTAGAGCCCCACTAAGTTGCGGAGGCTGGCTTTGAACCTGCAGTCCTCCTGCCTCAGCCTCCCAGTCACTAGGATTATGGGCATGCACCACTGCACTGGCTCATCTGGTTCTTGATTCCTGTTCTTATATGGGTCAAGGCTTCCCTCTGATCTCATTTGTTTACAGCTGTTTCCCTCCCATAAAGCCGTGTCTTCTGTCACTGTGATTCTGGTGTCTGGGCGAGCTGGGCAGCTGAACTTGACCACAGATTCTGTGCTGTATGTAAAAACCGTTCTTCTCTGACTTTGGCTCCTTGTTCTCAGGTGAAATTTATGGATTCTCCTTTCCTGTCAGAAATAGACCTTAGCAGTTGAAAATATACTAGTGGGAGGGCCACTGATCTCAGACGGACTTATCTGATGGACTTACCACTGATCACAGATGAGCCTGCTCATCTCAGCTGGCTGGTTTTCTCTGTCATTGTACAACTTTACTTACTAGGGGTCTTTGCTTCCTATGTTCTCCATTCCATCCCAAGACGTTCCCTGTGAGGCTCATACCTCCCTGTAGGTTTCCAAATTCATACTCCTGAGAACCTCAACATGATTGGCCAAGTCCATCTTGTTAGGTTGTGTTCTAGGTCACTGCCCAGACTGCAGATTGGCTGTCCAGCTAGTGGTAGTCAGATTGTGGGGGGACGTGGAGTCCAAGGGTGTCTGCTTGGTTGTCTGGGCAATAGGAGTAGAGGGCAGGGCAATTTCCCCTGTGAAGATGGCTAGATGGGTGGTCAGGTACTGATTGATGCCTCCAGGCTAGGACGGTTCAATTCTTGTTGCTCTTCAGGAAGAAAACCAGAAATTTGAAGCGGCTTTTATAGTGTGATGGAATTGAGACGGTCTTGGAGTACTGCCCACAGTGGAAGCATCTTTGCTAATAAGGACAAATGGAGACTATGGGCAATTACCTATGTATCTGAGTCCCAAGCTCTGCTATCATCTGGGGTGTCTGACCAAAGCACACATTCCAAGCCATAAACCTGATTTTTTTATTTTAGCCTAAATCAACCAGATCACAGCAAGATTTTGCTTGAATGACCCAGACAGATTGCATCAATTTTCTGCTTCACTTTACTTGTGGAAACCAGGCTGTTAGTGGCTACTTCTGGAATGGGAGAAGGTATCAAAAAAAAAAAAAAAAGAAAGAAAAGAAAAAAGAAAAAAACATGAAGGTTGTAACCTGAAAAAAATTTTTAGAATTTCATTGTTCAGTGTTCCTTAATAAACCACATGACTCTATAACATATACACGATATGTTTATGTTGGCCCACTTTAGTTTTTAGTAAAGATAGTGTGGATAGCATGATTTTGATGAAAATGACTCTTCCTTTTAAAAGTGTGCATGAGGGAATCAGGCATGATATTGCTCTTTGAATTATACTTCTGAGATTTAATTTGTCCTGTGTTTGTTTCTATGATGCTGTATTACAGTGCTTCATTTAACTTGTTCTTTCTGGGTTTTTTTTTTCATTACCAACTCTTAATAGTGGTGAATACAGTTTATGATTCTTCATTTTAAAATGATTCTTTCTTAATCTCAAGGGAAGTTTTTTTTTTTTTTCTATAAGAAAGCACAGAGTATTTAAAAACATTGTTAGTCTAAGCACACATTTTTATTTTTAGTGAACTCATTAGGATGATAAACATCAAAATGGTCAAAATAAACTTTCTATATCAACCTGATTAAATTGTTTTTGATTTGCTGATGAAACTTCACTGTCTCCTCAGGACACATAGAACCTGAGTGTTCTCATAGTGTGAGATCCTGTGTTGGTTCAGATGCTACAGGGGAGTGTTGAAGGTGTGAGGTGAGGTTTGAGCTGGACTGCCCACATTTGAGCCCTCCTGCCAGCTGGTATGGGTACTTAAGCTCATTATCTCGTGGTCTCCACATCTGTGTTTTGGTAGAACCTACATCACTATGAAAGTGCTTAGAATTCCTGTATTTATATGCCCAGGAGACATTTGCTATTATTTTGATTCTCTTCCACTCAAGAAAGCATATACTGAAATGTAAGTGAATATCAATAATACTCTTTTAAGGGTAAGTAATCTAATTTATATTTTATGTGACGTTTACACTATTTATTCATATTTTCTAAAAAAGGAAATAATCTATAATCAGTTTAGAATCCGTTGAGTGTCCTATTTTTAAGAACTGTTGCTCTCTGAATTTCCTTCACTATATTGATGCGCACAACTGATTTTAGCAGGAAACTAAATGCTGTTTGAAAAGCAAAATTCATCCATTCTCGCTAAAAAATAATGAAAGGATTTAATTAAATTAGAAAAAATATTTTGCTTTTAAGACATTTAAACTGCTCAAAACATTTAAAGTTTACTTTCCCCCAGAAATCATAAACAACAATAAACAGCTAACAAAGTTCCTGCACTGCTTAGTATACATGATTATCTCTCATGTAAGTGAATCTTGTTAACATTTTATGTTTGTGAAACTAAATCAAATACTTTTCATCTTAACCAAAATGTTCCCTGCTCTCCATGTTTTGGAAAAGTTAACCTCAGAGAAGTTTGCTCATTCAAATTATTTATGGACTAATTCACAAATATAGAGAAGATGGAAGACAGTGAAGATTATTTATTTAAAAAAATGTTTAAAGCATTGATTCTGAGAGTTTCCCTTTTCCTTTCTTCCCTAAGTCATTTCTGAGATGGCCCTCCTCTTGCGGGTGGCCTTTGGCTGGGAGACCAAGAGGTGCAAGTAGCCAGAGAGAGGCCCCTCCTCCTCCCTTCATCGGTCACTGCTCAACTTCCGGAAAACCAGCCTTACTCAGACTTTCAGAGTAGAAAAAGCTAATATGTATTTTAAAACACCCTTTGGAGTACATGCTACATTAACCTACAGCAGATTTTTATAAGCTTTTAAAATTTAAAAAAATTTAATATTATCTTAAAACTCATTTTCTACTTTAGAATGTTTGTCTCTGTGTTAAAAACAAACAAACAACAAACAAAAACCCTATGAACTTGTAAACTATTTCAGGAAAGTGCCAGGATCATAGGACAGAAGAAGGAGTTCAAAGTCAGAGGAGCTAAACCTGTGCAGGTTACAAAGTCAGGAAGGTCATTAATCAGTGACACAAAGTGCGGAGCAGAAAGAGAAAGTTACCAAGACCACGATCACAGGTGTGTCCTCTGTCCTGCTTTTAGCTGTGGTTAATTTTGGATGAACAAAATTGTTCAAAATGTGCTGAATGAAAGCTTTATTTACTTCTTTCCCCCCAATTTGTCTAGACTTCAAGTTTTATTATGAGTAAACAGAAAATGGGCTGGATTACATAAAGAGAGAGAGAGAGAGAGAGAGAGAGAGAGAGAGAGAGAGAGAGAGAGAGAGAGAGAAGAAAAGAAATAAGTTTGGGTGGATCAACACATGACTTTCCCCATGTTAAACATCTATCAAAACGGAAGTGCTGAGAAAGTTAGAATCAGGCCTGGATGGAAGGCCACTGCCGCCTTTATTATTTGAAGGAGAGTTTCCAATCCCAGTCAAATGGTGGTGCTAGTTCTTTATTCTTGAGTTTCTGCATTTCCTAATTTCATGGTCACAACAGCCTCAGAACGGCTTCTACCAAAACTGAAAATGCAGGCTCCCTGCTCAGCAGCTCTGTGACGGGCAGCAAAGGTTAAGGCCCCTTCTGCTGCCCTCTCTAGCACAAGAAGACAGTCTCTGAGTGACTTTCTTCTCCTCAAGTAGGTACTCCTATTTCTTCTTCTCAATTGATCATTTTTTTCTTTTTGCTAGAATGCGCTACCGTGTTCAAGCAGGGTATAACTCAGAGCTTACCTCTCCTGTGAAACGCTGTTCCATTTTCTCTCACTGCTCCAGGGGTATTTTGCAAAGTTCCTAGAAAGTCTTAGCATGATGTTAGCATGTTAATCTGAACTTGGTAGTGGAAATTCACTTTGGGAGTAAGATTCAGCTGAGTCACAGGGCAACCCGACTGCCTCTCCTCTGTACAGCACTGACAGGCTCCCTGCCCGCCCCAGATAACTGTATGTTTATTGGATCCGGCTCTAGCCATGAGATACTGTATGGCTGAAATGTGTTGCAATTTTAGAAGTTCATGATTGATCTTGGACTAGCCTGAACACTAACTGTTTCCTTACTCTCTGTTTGGTGCTATAACTTATGTGAGTTTGAACTAAGCAATCGGAATAAGCCATTATTTGTTTTCCTGAAGGCAGAGTTTTTTTTTGAAAAGCTGCGTGAGGTAGCAAGATGAGATTGAGACTCTGTGTCTTGTTTTGCCCCATGATTTTAGGCAAGTTTGTTTGAGTCCTGTGGTTCCAGTTTTCTCTATCTGAACACTACCACTAATGACTTTTTGCAGCAGGGTGGTGTGCACATTAACTACAGCACCACATGTAGCCTGTTGCTCACATAATGACGTGGTGGTCACAAAAGATAGGACAGGATACTTTCATTTTGGTTAAAGGAATGCTACACGTTTCAGGAAATGTTTTAAGTTGTAAGTTTTATTCTGGGTTATGATGCTAACCAGTTTTCGTTTTCTTTGACATGTACATAGAAGCCAACATGATTAATAATTTTTTTTTATAATTACTTAATAGAAGAGTTGGCTTTATCCAGGATTGTGATCATTGGTACTGATTCCTATTCAAAGTGCCAGATTTTGAATGACTATGGGTCAGATCTAATAGGCTTACAGAGTACCTTCAAGTAGAAGGTTGTTGGGAAACTTATCTGGTTTTGATATGATACATATATATTTATTTTTTACACATATAAAATATATTTATTTATTAATGTTGAGAGTGAACTTAGGAGAGAGAACCAGGTAGAAATATTTGAACTAAATCATAGAATGCATGGAAAAACCAAAAAAAAAAAAAAAATTAAGTAGGGTAGGAACTGAGATCTTGGATTCAGAGCCATTTCTATTCTTTAAAATGCCTTCCCATTTATTAAAAGCAAACATTTGCTCTGGTCTTATTAATGTTCTATGAAGTGTGCCTATAAGAACTTGGGATGCATGGACATAGTATTATTACTAACAGGTTGGATACAATAGTGTACAAGTTGTTAGATTTTCAAGAAAATTAGAAACAAAAATAATGTAGGTATGAGAGACAGAGCATGCAGGAAAAAAAAGCAAATTTCTGAATATGAATATAAGGATTATATTTACTAGTAGGATGTTTTTTTCAGGCTCTTGGAGATATTTGTTTCATTTCATAACTGGTGACAGTCAAGGAAAGGCATAAAGTTCTGTACTTAAACTTAAAATGAGAACAAAGCCAAACAACTACCTTTTATTTCAGTGAGACCTGTGTCTCTCATTCAGTTTAGCATTCAGAGCTAGTGCCCTCTACCTTTCCCCTAACACTCTAAAGCGACCTGCACTGTAACCACGACACCAGGTAGCTGCTGAACATTCTTAACCTGGTTGTCTGCAGGGCTTCTCTGAGTATTTTGTCTGTTTCCATTTAGCTCAGTTGGTCAGAACAAATGCTGGGACTGAGGCTCATTGGTTGAAGTTTTGTTTGACCTGAATGGAGAAAAGCTCTGCTCCATGGTTGTAGATAGCTCCAAGGAAAAAAGAGGGATTAGCTCTGAGAAGACCATCACATTGCTGGTAAGGGAAAAAAAAAGACACCCACACTTCATCCATGATGGGTGAGTTATGGTCCTGCCCATCCACTTCTACCAGGGCTGGGTCTCTGTCATTAATCCCTAAGAAAGAAACACCACCTGTGAGGCTTCTGCCAAGAGTCCAATAAGGTGCCATTTTAAAAGATACTTTACAGGTGGCTCTTGCTGAAGATGATAGTGATAAAGGTGCTTGCCTTTTGGGCAGCATCCCAATAGGTTACCTCTGGGCCATTCCCCCTGGACTAGGACAGCAAAACCTTGCACAACTGTGAGTTTGTGGTTCTTTCCAAGGAGTATAAAATTTTTCTCTCTGAAAGTCTGTGGCTGTTTTATTAGAGTTTGAAGAGGCTTGCACTATTCATTTGCCCCTAAAAATAATTCTATACAGATTGTTTTCAGCTCAGGTTTTCTATAACAGATAAATCTTTAGTGAAGTTTCAAATACAAATAAATATGATATGACTAATTCCAAGACTTAGTTATATGAATTTCTACCTGTGCAATTCAGGCAGATTATTTCACCTCTGAACTCAAGTTTTTCATCTGCAATGTAGGGGACTAAGAGTAGCCACCAGGTATAATTTAATGGAAAAAATGAGATTAAACCACTTTTTAAACTACTTGCAGTATTCAAGTGATAGAAACACAACACAAGAAAGCAACTTTAATTCCAAGCCGAGTACAGTGCCTGGTGCTCAATAAATGTTGGTGAATAAATGAATCGAACTCCAGGTTAGTCCCATGACTGCTAGCAGTTGATATCCATCTGATCATAACCAGCGACTTACCCTGAAAAATAACGGGTGGTCAGTTCATCCTGCTGAGAAAGCCACCTACTAAAGAACTGGTGCTTTTGTATTAAGCACAAAGTGTTGAAACAGCAGGCCCAGAAACTGCCAATGTCCTTCTGGCTCTTATTCCCATTATTTCTGTCCTTTGGGACCACAGGATGGTCACATTCCTTTGCGATAAGAAAGGCAGCAAGGAGTATCTTGCTGAGATATCAATACTTTGTTATAAATTTCTTTATATTTATTTTCACATTATAAGAAATATTTTGAGAGATGGGGTGGATGAAGTTCAGTGGTACAGCACAACAAGGCTTCCCCTTCTCCCCCCCAAAAAGAAGAAAAAGAACAAATATGTTGCTTTTTTTGGGCAAAATCTTAGTTCATGTATGCATAGCATGTTAAATTTCTAATTCAATATGGTATCAGAGAACTGAAATAGACTCTCCCTTCTGACCCCACATATATTTAGGGCCCATGACGGTTAGTAATAATAGCAATTACATTAGCACTTACTGTTTGGGGAGCTCTTATTTTGCATGATACTTTTTATAAGTATATCATGTTTCATCCTCACACCAACCCCAGGTCATAAACAGTAACATGATTCTCAATGTACAAATGAGGAAACTGAGGCTTTGCAAGTTAGTGATTTGTCTCATATTATAAAGCTTTGTAAATGGCAAACCTAGCTCTGGAATATAAACTCATCTAATCCCAAAGTTCATATTCTCAGCTATTACTTGAAATAGTATTCATTTCTCAAGTCTCTGTTCAATATGAACTTTGCCTTGGAGAAGCAGGCTGAGCTCAGAGAAGACGTTATGCCCTCTCTAAGGCTTACTATCTTCGTCTGTAAAATGGGAATCATGATGTTGGATTTAACAGAAGTTTTGTGGCTACTGATGAGAATTCAATGTAATAATAACTGTAAAAGAACATTGTGAAAAGTTCACTTTATTCAAATATAAATTTGTTACTGCCAGTAATACAATTATGCACAAATTATGACTGAGTTTACATGTAACATTTTGTCACCAGGTAAGTGAGCATAGCCTGGGTGTGGTGCTGGGAACTGGGTAGGAGAGGCAGGTCATTTTGTGCATGTGAAGCACTGACAGTGAGTGCATCAGTGCAAGTGTGGGTTGGGAGAGTCCTGGCTCCCCAAGCGCGTGACAAAACATGCGTATGAGCAGGGGCAGGAGGGAGGTGGTTGTGGAGGAAGATGGCGACCTTCTCCCTGGTCGACCCTTGCAGACTTGGGGGATGCTCTCTAATTTATTTGGAGAAAACAAATGCCTAGGAACTTCCCTGGCTCGCTGTTGTAAGAGTCGTTGAAGACTCTTATTGGCTGTACACATGGAATGGTGTTGTCCCAAGCTTTCAGGAGCTTAATCTGGCTTTGGTCTCCTACTTGAAATTAAAGTTGTCATCAACATTTTTTTTTTTTTGTGCTTTCCTGCTAAGAATGGGTGTAAGTGGGCACAATCTTCCACCTATCTTTCTTGTTGCCTTGGAGATAATGTCCAGGACCTTCGTGGTTACTGCCAATCATAAGGGGGAAGAGACAGACCACGACAAGATGACCAGTCCAGGGAGCTTGTGAAGTTAAGCAACTGATGTCATGATTCCAGCTCTTCACTGGCAAAGTAGAGTGCCACTGGGTTTTTGATGTTTCTTTTTCCTTGGATCTCATTAAACTGCCATCTTCTCAAATGGAGAGCAGCGGAGTTCCTAATATGCAGCTCCTTCCCCAACAAGGTTCTTCTGAAAATGGGTGATCTGCATTTCTTTTTTCTTCTTCTGGTGGTTCTGGGGATAGAATCCAGGGCTCCTTGCATGGTAGGCAAGCACGCTACCACTGAGCTATCTCCCCAGCCCAGTGATGGGAATTCTTTTTTCTTTTCAAATTCAGTTTAGATTCTATTTATTTATTTGCTTCATTCTTTTTAGTTATAGGTTATAATAGAGTCCATTTTGATATAAGTATATAAGCATGGAATATACAATGTTCTAATTAGGACCTTGGTTTTGTGGATATACACAATGTTGAGATTCACTGTGGTGTATTCATATATGTACATAGGAAAGTTATGTCAGATTCATTCTACTGTCTTTCCATACTCCCTTCTCTTTATTTTTCTTTGTCTAATCCAGTGAATTTTTATGCCCCCCGCCCTTATTGTGGGTTAGCTTCCACATATCAGAGAAAACATTCGACCTTTGGTTTTTCAGGGTTGGCTTATTTCACTTAGCATGATAGACTTCAGATCCATCCATTTACTGGAAAATTTCATAAAGTCATTCTTATTCATGGCAGATTAATACTCCATTGTGTATATATATCACAATTTCCTCATCCATTCATCTATTGAAGGGCACTTAGTTTGGCTCCATAGCTTAGTAATTGTGAATTGTGCTGCTATAAACATATATGTGGCTGTGTCACTTTAGGATGCTGATTTTTAAGTTCTTTGAATATATACTGAGGAGTGGGATAGCTGGATCAAATGGTGGTTTCATTCCAAGTTTCTGAGAAATCTCTGTATTACTTTCCAGAGTGGTTGTACTACTTTGTAGTCCTACCACAATGTATGAGTGTACCCTTTCTCCCACATTCTCACCAACATTTATCGTTGTTTGTATTCTTGATAATTGCCATTCTGAATGGAGTGAGATGAAATCTTAGAGTGGTTTTGATTTGCATTTCTCTAATTGCTAGAGATGTTGAACATTTTTCCATATTTTTTGTTGATAGCTCATTTCTTCTTTAGAGAAGACTCTATTTAGTTCTTTTCGCCCATTTATTGGTTGGATTATTTGATTTTTTTGTGATTGAATTTTTTGTTGAAGAGGCTGTCTTTTCTTCAATGTAAGTTTTGGTGCCTTTGTCTAGTATGAGGTAACTATCTCTGTGGGTTTGTCTCTGTGTCTTCTATTCTGTTCCATTGGAGTTCTTGCCTGTTTTGGTGCCAATACCATGCTTTTTGTTGTTGTTGTTGTTGTTATTATAGGTCTATAGTATATTTAAAGCCTGGAATTGTGATTCTTTCTGCTTTGCTTTTCTCACTAAGGATTGCTTTGGTTCTTCTAGGTCTCTTATTTTTCCACATGGATTTCAAAACTTTTTTTTTTTTTCCTATTTCTATGAAGAACATCATTGGAATTTTAATGGGAATTGCATTAAATCTGTATACAGCTTTTGGTAGTATGGACATTTTGGCAATATTAATTCTGCCCACCCAAGAACATGGGAGAAGTGATCTGCATTTCTGAGACCCATCTTCCTTCTGCTATTCTTAGAAATGGTCTCACTGGGATATTTCCTTTCAGGAGACACCAAGAAATCCAGCAGCAATTTTGAATTTATCTGACAGAGAGTAAATCAAGAATTATTTTCTAAAAACCATGCAAAAAAGGGCCTAATAAAGATGATAGCATCATATTTAATAATTCATTTTAATATCTTTTTATTTATTTAGTTTTTGGTTCTGGGTATTAAATCCAGGGGTGCTTAACTATTGAGCCACATCCTTAGACTTTTAGAAATTTTATTTAAAAATGTTGACACAGGATCTAAATATGTTGCTTTGGGCTGGGGATGTGGCTCAAGCGGTAGGGCACTCGCCTGCCATGCTTGTGGCCCAGGTTCGATCCTCAGCACCACATACAAACAATGATGTTGTGTCCACCAAAAACTAAAAAATAAATATTAAAAAATTCTCTCTCTCTCTCTCTTTAAAAAAATATGTTGCTTAAGACCTTGCTAAGTGTCATTTTAATATCTTTTACTTTAAAGCTATGGGATAAACATACACAGACATGTACACACACACACACACACATTTCAATAAGGAATTTTAGAAGTTCTACTTGCATTGAGTTTTACTACAGAATATTTAAGGATTAAGGTTATTCAGAGCCAAATATAATTTAATTCATTCCAATTTAATTTTTTCCCTAATTTTGCCTAGGAAATGAGTAGTTGCTACAGGGCCCCATTGTGGCTCATTAAACTTTGTCCTAGAGACCCTCTCCTAACAGAACAAAAGTGTCTTGGGTACAGTGCTGGTGATTGCACATCGGTGCCTGGGAAGAGCCTGCTACACACTGGTGTCAGGGGCATGATTGTGTTTGATTGAGCCTGACATTTCTTTGATCCCTAGACATTCTCTACTAGGTATGGTCAGCTGGGAACTGTTATGACTATTAGCTAACAATTATAATATATCCTTTCTATCATAATGTCAGGTAACAGTAGAGGAGAATGTGATAAGTGCTTTGAGAGTGATGAGCTCTGTGGGGGAGTGTGAAGAGAAGAGAGGAAGTTATTTCCAGTTGGAAAAGGGTGGTTAGGGGTGATTTCAGGCAGGAAGTGACATACGACCCTGACCTTGAACTATGGGCAATGTTTCCACAGGAAGATGTAAGGAAAGGACAGAAAATAAGCAAAGCAAAGGCTTTGGGGAATCATTAGCAGTTTGACAGAAATATAGTTAGGACACGTGCAGGGAGGCAGCAGGAGATAATCTAGGAATGGAGAGTTCAATGTCATTTTGAGGACTTGGACTTCATTATGTAAGCATTAAAGATTTTGGTATAGGCTTATAATGAAATAATGTCTCAACCTTAGGAAAACACTGTATAGATGGAAGTGTTCAGGTGATAAGTGAGAACATCAATTTGGAGGTGATTTGAATAGTTCAAGAGAGGTGAACTATTAATTTAAGTGGAACAACCTAAATTGAACGATTTAATAAATCTTTTAGGACTTGTTTTTTTGAATCAGGACTGTTTATGGTTGTAAAGAAGATTTTGTTCCAAAAGTGACTAGTGGAGAAAGAAGTGAGAGTCAAAAGGTCTTACTTTGCCACTGAGGTGCTTAGCAAACAGTGGCAGGCTCTGAGCTGTGTCTCTGTAACTGTAAAATGGGACTGATAACTGCTGGGCACCCATCAAAGCACTATACTAGTGGTACCCTGGAGACCAAGTAATGGACCTTTGTGAAGTGCCACACTTCATATGTGTGAAATACTATCTACTTAGAATATTTTTATAGGACAATTATTTTATTTGGACAAAAAATAGATTCATTAGGAAATAGTTCATATCTCTATAGTAGTTGTACTACTACTACTACTACTACTAGTACTACTACTGTCAGTCTCTCTAAGATTACTCTTTTAATCTTATTGTGATTAATAGGATCATCCCAATTTTTGCATATACTTATTAAATAGATACTCTTCAATGGGCACTGAGAATTTTGACTTTCGAGGCCTCATTTTGCTCACAAAACAGACACAGGGGTTGGACTAGGGAAACTGCATGGTCTCTGTGATTTCACCATTTGGTAATTCTGTGGTTCTGGTGTTCAGTTACCTACAATTAGAACAGTGAGTTGAGATACCATCATAAACACAATCAAACTGATAGGCATCTGTCTGGGAGTAAGAGACAGATGTGCCACTGTCCCATAGACTCAGGGTTCTAGTTGGAAAGGAAGACTGATTTGTCTTTCCTCTGCCAAAATGCTGTGCATTATGGGAATGGGGAGCTGAGTCCAGGTATTGTGGGTAGAAGAAAGGGGGAAGGTTGGGTTTGCTGTCTTTCTTTTTTCTCTTATATAAAAGGAAGGGGAAATAATTATGAAAAGAAAAATGGCAAAGAACAGTCTGGGGTGGGGGTTGATAGAAAAGGCCAAGTGCACTCAATAATCTAATTTCAGTTATAATAAATCTCCAGGGCTGATGCTTCACTCCTGAGAGTGCTCAGTGGCTAACACTTGGCTTTTGTATTTGGGCAGAGATGAACAGAGAGAAGGTGATACTGCACCACTCAGCAGGAAGAACATTACTCATACTGGTTGGATGGTCTTTTCCTCTAGATCACCCAGCCTGCACAAAGTAAGCACACAGGTACTTTAAATCTAGTTTGGAACAAAAAAAGATTCATAGAAAAATGTTTTCTAGGAAACGAAAAGTCAAAAAATAAAGGTCTGTTTACAGTGGCATTCATGTTGCATAAGCTGTATTAAAGTAGATGAGTATTAATCATTTAGAGCAGTTCACAAATTATTCACATTTGGACTATGCAGGGACCTCATTTCACTTCTTTCTCACCATCTGGATTCTATCCATTTCACTCCTCCCTCAGCACTTGGAATAGAAACGAAATTTCAATGTGCCAAATTTCTACTTATTAGAAGCTATAGTAGTATGTTCAGTAGGGAAAGGGATTTATACTGTTATGTAGAAGGAGAGTTTGGGATGATCTAAGGCTTTGGTTTGTTGTTGATATTGCTAGAATCCACTACCATCAATGTTTGAGAATTGGGCGCACTAGAGAAATTTATAGATGTACAAAAGTGTAACAAACATTGGGTGCACTTGACTTCTTTATCCAGCTCTTTAGTTCTAAATTTATTGTTAGTTTTATTTATCAAACCAATTCTCAGAGGAGTGGTATTTGCTGTGGCCACAAGGAAACATCTGTAAGCTTAAACCTTAGAGGCAAAAAGCCAGTTAGAACATTTGGCATAATGAAGCTCAGATTGTAGAAGAGAAAAATTAATCAAGGAAACCCTCAAAACTATTGAGACTACACTAAAGAAAAGTGTCTTATCACTGATACACTGAAGAACCAAGTTCACATTAATTAAGAAATGTCAGAATCCATCATGAATCAAGGAGGAATGTCATACTCTGGTAAATTTGGAAGTTGATGTTAATCTGACTGCCAGGATTTATGGTAGATTATATAATGGAATCCTGAGTTCTAAGAGATCAAAGGAAAATTCTGGCTCTTCCTTCATCCATTCTCTTAGGTCAAGCCTACCCAGCCAAAAGCCAAATGGAGAGTTGAGCAATTATCTGAAGTGGGCAGTAGAGACGGCCAAACCAGATAATGCATGATCAGAAAGTCATTGCAGAGGGAAAATGTGGACTGAAAATAGGGTAGGAGTGAGTGTGGAATGTCAAGCAATTTGGTCAGTATCCACAGTCCAAATTTACTGAATAACAGCCAATGCCTTCTTCATGTCGTTGTTTAGAATGAGACTGAAGGACAAGGGGAAAAACAAAGTCACTACTGAGGCTGTTGCAAGTTTGTGCAGATTTTTCTCCATATCTGTGTTATTATCTGTGACATGTCTAATCCTGAGTATTTCCAGGGATCGGATTTCACTGTTCTAGACTAGTGGGTTGAAGTGGTGGAGGAAACTGACTTATGTTCTTTTACAGTTTTGACGAATATTGTATTTAATTAGTCTTTTTACCCTCCACAGTGCATGCTGGTGAATTTTCCATTGAAAACTTTGATGCTCTCTTGCCTTTCTCATTTCCTCATATGGCCATTTTTATATATTCTTAATTTTAATAGAACCTGAGAAGGAAGAATATAAGTCTGCTAGAAGTGGATTGCATTGCTTTTGGTTAAAAAAAAAAAGGAAGAAAGAAAAAAAAAACCTACCAAAGTCTCAGAATCAGTGTGGTATTTTTAAAATTTGATGTAAAAACCATAAGCTACTCACTTTGAGCAGATGTTTCCCAGCTCTAAATTATCACTATCCATCATCATCCCTGTGTCTGTCAGTGTGAACTTGCTAATTGTAAAAATTCTTTTATTCAATGTCACATTTGTTATTTTTTTAATTGAGAAAAAGTTCATAAATTAAGTTTACTGTTGCTTAGAATTAGGAAAAGACACAGGCACACTCATATTTCAGATGGAAAAACAAAGTTAAGAAATTAAACAAGTTTTTTTTTTTTTCCTCACATTATCGTGTTTTGTACATGTGAAGTCATGATACAGCATTTTAGAAACAAACAAATAAACAAACAAAAATAAAACTGATGACGTACTTTTCAATAGCTTAAGTTGATGTTTAAAACCCATAGGAAAAAATGCCCTGTGGCATTTTTGGAGCACTGCAAGGAATTCTATTGAAATACCTTGTAATAAAGTAAAAATTCAAAAATGGTGTAAATAAGGATTAAGAAAGTCATATAAGTGATGAGATAAAACTGTGTAGGAAATGACATTGCTAATTCCTCACTTGCTGATTCTCTGGTAAAACCACACAGCCATCACAGGTGACTATACTGGACATATGCTTTGAGATGCTGTGGACCGGGAGGTTTTGTTCTAATGACAAAATGAATGTACAGAAATAAAATTCATTCCCTGAACCTGAATTGAGATAGTAGGTTATGGCCTACGTATAAATGAATCAAAACGACTAATTACATCATTGGTAAATAGCTCATGCCTTACTTAGTTTTGTAGAAACTATGGTTGAGGAACTTGATCTTTGCAGATAAGGGAGACATTGATTCTTCAGTGCCATGGATAAGGGAGACTACTTTTATTTTTAATCACCTTGCTTTATTTAAGTGGGGGATAAAATCAGAATTCATAAAGGAAATCTTTGGAAATCACTCATATTATGAAACTGTCCCACTCTGTTATAAAACAAAAGGAAGAAGAAAACCAAGAAGATGTAAGCACAAAAATGTCTTTATACTCTTCAGGACTGCAGTACCAAATCTCAGCCCAGCTCTTTACCAAGAAGGATGTAGATACAAATGTCAATGGAACTACCATCAAAATAGGAGATCATATTAGTTTCCCTTTCTGTATTTCAGCTTCTTCCATGGATATATAAAATATAATTGGACTCTTAGTTTGGGGAATGACTTTTCATTTAATTTCTTTGATTATTGAGCAACTATTGCCAGCGGCTTAGTATATACTTGCTCTCTGCGGAGCACTGGAGTGTGTTTCTTGAGTTGAAGTGAAGGATACAATCTATGAACTACCACCATTAAAAAAATACCCCACAAGTACTGTGTAGTTGAAATTTCTTTACTTGTTATCAGGGAGGTTGACCAACTTATCTACAATGTTCAATATTTCATTCTATATATAGAAAACACTACTTAAAAAAATCTTTTAAGTATCATTTTTTTTTCTCTAATAGCTTTATCATAGCCGTTAGCAAGTAAAACATTTCCTTATTGGAATTTCACAACTTCCTTTTTGTCTTGCCAGTTGTATGATGTTAATTAGACACAAAATGTGAGTTTGCATTTAACCCTGAAATCAGAGAACGTCTTCAGAATGTAGTCTTTATATAATCAGTTTCTACCTAAAACCAGAGACATGACTCTTACATTCTTATTAGTTAGGAATCTTCCTGTGGAATTTAATTATTCAAAAGTGACAAATGGCAGTTTCTAAGGGGAAAAAAATTGTTTAGGTGGACAAGCAGACTTTTTTTTTTTGTATTGTGACTACCAAATAATCAGATCATTTAAATTTAAAATTTAAAGAGAAAATAACTTACTGACCTCCAAGTCCTTTCTCATTTCCTCCATTTTAGAACCAGTTCAGAACCTCTTGGAAAGCCATGCCTATATTCTAATGAAAGGTGTCACCATTGCGTAAAGCCAGCTTGAGAAGCTGTATATTTATTTTTTAGTACATGAATCCAGTAGCAGGCATGTGATATAAAATGTTAAAATCCCTTTTGATTTGTAAATTCCATGCAATCCTTCAAAATGATTAAAAGCCCAAGAAGTCTGAGTCAACTTAATAATATGCAAGGTTTGTTTTTATGTAACGTGCCCACATTGCAAGGGAGGTGTGGGGTGTGGACCTAGCTCTGTCTGCCAATCAGCTATAGAGGCCAGCACTTAACCTGACCTCTCTAGGGTCCAAACTGGCATATTTTACTCAGAGAGATGACCTAATTGTAGAACTAGCAGTTTTGGTGAAGTATTTCAGGAAAGTTTTTGATTAGACCTTGTATAAGAAATGAAGGGTTACTAGGCAAAGACTTTCTTTGGTGACTAATCAAATGTTAAATAATATTACCAATTCCAGGCTTAGTCACTGTCCTCACAAGTGCTGTGGAACTGGTTAGGCTGGTCTTCCCAAGAGGCTGGAGATGATCAACTGTCCCCAAGCACGCAAAGCCCTCCGAACCTTGTCTACAAGAACAAGGCTGACTGCAGGCTATGTAGAAGCTCCCACCCCCCAAACTGCTCTGGCTTATGAATCTAAGAGAGTTATGGTTCTAATACCTCTATTAAGAGTCTGAGCAACTGCAAATCAACCCTCATGTGAATCACAGTAGAGCCAGGGGCATGGCTGCTGTAGCTTCTCACTTCCAAGAAGACAGCGAATGCCTGGAGCTATTTGCCAACCCGGTGCAGACGGTTTGATTTTGGACAGCAAGGGGAAAGACAATGGAAAAAAGAAAAATAAAATAAAAAAAAGAACAAGATTTTAACAAACAAATGAATCCTCTATCTGGCTCGGGGTTAAAACACCAGGAGAACCAGTGCAAATCTTGGGAGTTTGGATCCCACATCATTTTCAATATATTGTCCTATGTCCTCTCTCCCTTTCTGTTTCCACTAGCTCCACGGGTCTCTTGCATTTTTCTTTCTACTTTGAGGTCCCGGTTCTGAAGTTGATTATTCTACAAAGGTCTAAGGTTGCTATTGTTATGACTTTGATAGAGGTTTGAAACAAAACCATCAGTCTTCTAGCTGGCATGGAGCTCAGGGCTCACGGTGTTCCTCCCCAAGGAACTGCGACACCTAGGTGGCACGCCAGAATAATTCTTTCCCATGCCGGTTGCTCTTCCATTTACAAACCACCCAGAACAGAAGTGTTTCTCCCGTTCTCAAACGTATTTGGCTCTATTAACATGAAATGTTGGTTTTCAGTACAAAGAACCTGAAGGCTAAAAAAGGAGATACATAAAGCGCTAGGTTATGGGGCACCTGCATGTGGGTTTCCCCACGAGCACTCTTGAAAGTCCTGTGTCTTTCATGGTCTAATTTTTTCATTCCTGGGGTCAGTGAGTTCAGTCAAGTGGTTAATATAATGACAGTAA